GCCGTCTATCCTCCCGAATATCGCCTCGGATTCACTTCTCTGCATGTCCTACCTTCCAGTAAGTGGTCGCTTCTCTGTTCAGAGAGTTGTTGCTACTCTCTTCTTTGATCTCCTGTTGAGTTCATAGGTTCAGAATGGTTTGATCCCTATTCAGCTGAATTCCTGAGACCAGACGAAATCCAGGTCTCCTACACCTCTGCCATCTTGCTCTGCCCCTCTAAATAAATAGATCTTTTTTTAAAAATTTAAATTCTTTTAGCCAACATATAGTACATATTAGTCTCAGATGTAGTGTTCAACAATTTATCAGTTACATATAACACCCAAATAAAAAATATCTTTTTTTAAAAAAAAAGAAAAGCAATATATAGAAAAATTCACCAAGTGAGTAACCTGCTTCATCATGTATCCATTGCCACAAAACAGACTGTCCGAAAACTTAGTGGCTTAAAACAACAGTGATTGATTATTTCCCTTGATTTTGTGGATCGATCGAGTGTTGGTTCCTGTGAAGGCACTGATGTGGCGAATTTGTTCTGGGAACACCTGGGCTCTGCAACTCCCCTCCTCGTGTTCTCTCTCTCCCAAGCTCCTCTACATGGCCTCCTTTTCCAGTCTAGTGGATTGTCCTTCCTGCACGGTATCTGCATTTGAAGAGGGGATAAAACCATCAACTCTATTTATATCATGCTTACTAATATCCCTTTGGGAAAATCAGATCCTATGACCAAGCTTTGGGTCAGTGTGGGAAGGAGCTACACAGAGGTGTGGATACCAGAGCATGTGGTTCCTTAGGGGTCACAACAGGTTACCAAGGTGTATTTGAATGATCAAATGTTAACTAGCATTTGGATAGCAATATAATAATGAAACACAATTGTGAAGTTAATACAAGAGAAAAATGGATAATGTAAATTATATCACACTTCAGTAGTGCAATTCAGTTTATCATCTGACCTAGGAAAGGTGTAAACTTTAAAGTAATGCAGACCTGAAAGCGATTACTTGGTGGCCACTTCTTCTTTCTCATTTATTTAGATAAGCCTGCAACTGCTATTTTAATTAAAATATAGGATGATTTGTGGTATGGAAGGATTAAAAAATAGTTACATCACTTGGGAACCCAATGAAATGAAAGATATTCTTCCAATTTTCTTATTGGTTTATTTCAAAAAAGCATTAACTATATTAAATATATGTGTCAGGAGAGCATTTAAGTGGTTTATAGAGTGATAGATTGATTCTTCAGAAAACTGTCCATCTGGCATTTATTTATTTAAAAATGTAATTTATAATTTAAGATATACTTGAGGCATTTAAGTATGACACTTGAGAAATACAGCCTATTTAAAAACATCTTTGGAAGATAAAAGTTCAAACCTAAAAAAAATCAATTTGCTAAATAATATAATTGGCATTGACTTTTTATTAGTTTCTGATGTTGATTTTCTTTCTCTTTCAAATTTTATTAGCTTTAAATAAACTAGAAGAATAAATAAGATTGTCAACTCTCCCAAAGCAGGTTTGTGAAATGGATATGCCTTTTTAGAACCACTAATACCTCTGAGGTTTATTTCTCCCTCCTAATTCCAGCAAGATTCCATACAATGGGTTTATAATAGCATTGAAAGCGCTCAAGAAGACCTTCAAAAGTCTAACTCCAAACCTTCTGGAGAGGAAGTAGGGGATGCTTTTGACTGCAAAGTAGAAGGTGGGTTCCTTCTTTTTCTCCTCATTTGCTTATAGTAGTATTCTTTTTCAATGTGCCTGTCTAGTCCCTATTATTGAAAATCTTGTATATTCAAGCCACTTTCTTAAATCATTATCACCAAATAGATGTTATGTAAATACATAAGTAATAATAGCTAGCCACTAACACGTCATAGCTACTATGCTTTGTTAGGCACTTTAGGTGTTTTACATGGGTTATCTCATAAAGTCATCAAAAAAGGAAATCTCTCAACAGTGTTACTGTCATCATCCTTATTTTATGGAAGAAGAAATTGAGGCTTATTAGCTTAAGGGAGTTCCCAAGCCAGTAAATTGTAGAATGCAGGTTCAAACCCAAGTTACAATGTGCTTCCTTGCTTTGAGTTTAAACGTTGTGTAGACCTTCCTAATCCCGTGTGGTTCACAGACCAGCAGCTACAATATCACCTGGAAGGATGCAGAATCTCAGCCCCACCCCAGACCTACTGAAACAGAATCTCCACTTTAACAAGATCTGATCTGTATGTGCACTAAAATTTGAAGCCTGAGTTTAGAAAGTCTGTAGTCCCTTTGAAAATACTTTGATTCAAGTAACTTTTACTGTATTCTAACATTAATTATAATGAAAGAGACAAACTAGTAATGTAGAAATGAGAGAAAGACCAAGATCTATTGATAAGGACTCAGACCATTTCTGTTTTCTCAGTGAAGTAACCAGCAGATTGCTGGATTCAGTGGCTTCTTCACCAAAGGTAAAGGGACGGAGGCAATTAAAGTTATGTTTGCATTTGACAAATACCTTGAATTATTGTTTCAACACTTTTTCACAGAAGTCCTGAACCCTCTCTTACCTTTTTTCTGTTATCTTTCCATTTACATTATTAGTGGATAACTCTGGACATTTTTATTGTACAATTAGGTTCTTCCAGCCAGCCCAGTTACATAATCCCCTATACACACTTAGCATAAGAGGGGGGAGCACTCAGCAAAAGCTCTGTTCCCCCCAATCCTGGAAGGCCCCTGGGTAAGAGCCACTAAGATCATGGACGATATTAGAAATATTTCAACCACATTGGAGCACCAAGGTTGTTATGACATACCGACTTTCTTAATTATTTAAACTAGGACAAATCTCAGGACCTTATCGTGAGGCCTTTATTCCTCATTTAGAGTTAGCTTTTTTTTGCTCATCATCATTAGTGCCACAGTGAAAGGGTTGATGAGATGCTCTGATAATTTATTTCTAGCTATTCTGGGACTCAGTTATTTTAAGATAAACCATTACTCTGCTTTTGCCTATTTTATATTTACTATTTCTGCCATTCTAGGACTTAATTGTTTTTAGTTAACTAATATTCTATTTTTGCTAATTTAGTATTTGCTGTTAGGTTTCTCAGGAGCTTTCCTGCTTGAGATTTTAGGTGTTTTTATGCCAGCTGACTAATTAATTGTAGGCCAAAAACCGATAGGAAGACAGTCTAGATGAAAATGTTATTGTAGCGAACAATGACAAATTTTCTCAATGAGCTATCTGCAGAAGATGTTTGGGAAAATTCATGCATCCTGTCTGCTGAAAAAAATGATTATTGCACCTCCTTTCTGCTTCTTCAGAATGGTTTTATATGTTCTTTTCTGCTTTGAACAAATTTCATTCGATGTTTGAGGCAGTTTTAGGAGCCCTGACTTTAAGTCATGCATGCTTCTAATAAAAAATATAAAATTGTATGTATAATGTTTATAATGGTATAAATAGGCATACATATGGTCCATAGACCAAAATGGATGTGCAAAGACTAGTCATGTTAGAGTGGTGAGATTTGGATCACTCCAACATGGTTTTTTTTTGTTGTTTTTTTTTTTTTTAAGTGTTCTTGTTTTTAAAAATGTTAACGAGACTGTCGGATTTAGCCATCCTTTCAAGAAATCTTTAAAAATTATTCGGAGAGACTCAAATTCTTTGAAGAGACTAACGAACCCTTCCTGAATTTGTTGAATTAAAATTGTCTCTGTTCCAGAGGTGATTGACAAGTTTAACACCATGGCCATCATTGACGGGAAGAAGGAGCACGTGAGTCTAACCGTGGATAACGTGCACCTGGAATACGGTGTCGTGTATGAGTATGACAGCACAGCTGGGATGAAGTGCAACGTGGTGGAGAAGATGATCGAGCCCAAAGGCTTCTTCAGCCTCACTGCCAAGGTATGCGTGATCCTGGCAAAACAAGGGACTTTGTTCTCATTAAAGTCACTGACACCCTCCCCCACCTCCGCTTTAAAAAATGTAAATAGCTGTCAGCTCATTCAACGTTCTTTTCTTTTTTCTCCCCCTGTTACTCGGTATGCGTACAACCTTTCTTTTTATTGATCTCTTTTGGAGCACAGTGTGAAGTTAGACGGGACTCTTGCCCAGGCAAATGTTAGTTGATTTGGCAAAGGCTTCTCTGCATTTAGTTAAGTTTGCTACATCTGTTGATTCAGTGTCATGAATACCTTTCAGATGGTTTTTGTGACAGGTGGTGCTTTTTTAAATGTAGATAATCCTCTGAAAAGTATTTGAAGCCATGAAATGTATTATAAGAAACTTCAAATTCTGCAAGTCTCATGTTTATTTCATAAAATTTCACAAAGCTTAGAGATCCATTTATGAATAGACCCTCAGACATTTATGTAATTCGTAGTTGGGAAGGATATCATCCTTAGTCTTTAGATTAAACCAAGATAGAGAGGGAGGAAGGGAGTTTTCATCAAATGGATAAAATGTAGTTAAGTGAGAGGTGACTCTGTGCTTGCTTTTTATGATCCTTCCAGTAGGTAAATCAGTAAATCTCCTATTGGACCCTTCCCAGGTCTGAGCTCTAGTATTTCTCATGCTTTTCTCTCACCCGGTGAGGATTCAGGTATTACAAGTAAGAAATATGACATATAGCTTCACTACTTTTATTTTTTTATGTTAACCCTTGTTTTATATATGAGTGGTTGAGATAGATTATGCAGTATTTCAAAAATTATTTTATGTTTTTGTTTTATATTCTGAAAGTCAACCTCAAAAAAAATTCCATTATTTTATGTATCTTTTGATATAGAATCTGTATTTTCAAAATGCAACCCCTTATTATTACTAAGGCAATCCATGTAAGAGTTTGGAACCAGTTTATTAGCATTTTATCTCCTTTTCTAGCTATTTCAAATTTGCAAAGTTACATGGATTATTTTATATATATGAACTGTATAAATCCTGCAAATATTTCCATTCTACACATGAAGAAAAGAAAATCAAAGAAATTAAGAAATTTAACCAAGATCACACAGCTGATGATAAAGTGAGCTCTACTATCTAGAGTAGTGATTAAACAAGAAGCTCACACTTTATATTCTGTAAGTCAGGGAAGTAGAGGTGGTGAGGGAGCTCAAATAAACAGCATCTATACATTGTATCCCTCATCCAGTATTATAAAAATGTCATGTAAGGGTGTTACCAATCCTTGCAATCTTTGAACAATCATCAATATGACACATAATTAATTCAACTCATTGGAAATTCTCAGTGATCAATAGTGTGTATACACATAAACGCACACAAGTGCTGTCTTACAATTGATTCAAATAGCCAAAAGGATTTATTAATTGAATACATCATATGAATACTTTTATCTGATGCTTTATCAGATGGAGCTCAGACACTGCAACTATCATTGATTTTACTTTAGCAAGAGAATTTCTTATTTATTCATTTCATCAACAAACATTTGTTACATGCATTCTCTGTACTGGCCTCTCAGTAGAAAGTAAGGATGCCATTCTGTTGGCTTTCCTTAGTTTTTGTTGTTCTACTACCAAATTGGGAAAAAAAAAATGTTCTGAGTAACTCTGACTAAAATATAGGCAATGTGTTACCACATCAGAGCATACTGATTTATCCAGCAGGGAGTCTTTGAAGTCCACTCACTTCCCTCAGGCAACCTTTTATAGTTGGCAGAAGGCAAGACATGAGAGACCAAACACACAAGCCCATCACTTCACTCCAAGGGTTTTACCGAACATAGAAATCCCAAGCAGCTCAGGGAAGTGTGCTGGGTAGAGTCACCCTGTGTTCTAGAATTGTGAAAATTTTACTTGGCTAATTTTGAAGGTTTTCTTTTCTTGTTCTCTGTGTGTGTTTCTACAGATTCTTGAAGCCTTGGCTAAAAGTGATGATCATTTTGTACAAAACTGCACCAGCCTTAACTCTTTAAATGAAGTGATTCCTACTGACCTTCAAAGTAAATTCAGTGCCATTTGCAGTGAAAAAACTGAGCGCATATGTCAGAGAATATCCAGTTATAAAAAGGTAAAAGTTTTATGTATATATTTCCCATGTAATTATTATTTAAATTATTTAAATGTCCAATTTAATTCAATTCTTGATATTTTCATTACTTATTTATATACCAGTTTATTGAAATAATAACATTTATATAACATTTTAGAGTTTTTTAAATGCCTTTACAGCCATTAACCTTATTTGATCTTTATAAACCTGAAAGCTAGTTCATTATTCCACATTTTCCAAATATAACTGAGGCCTAAAGAATTAAATTACTAGCAAAAGATAGAGTTGGGATGTAAATCCAGGCCACCTAATTATGAGTCAATAGTTCTTTTCCTTTTCTCTCAACAGAGGGAATAGAACTCTCAATCAGAAAGTACGTGGAACACAGTCTGTCTGAAATTGATTGATTAGTACATTTATTTGACATATTTATTGAGCACATTTTATATGCCAAACACTGTTCTTGGTGCTAAGAATATGGCAGCAAAGGAGAAAAGATCTTTCCTCTCAGGGTACTTATTTGAGTGGGGGAAGCAGCAAAGAAGTAAATGAATCTTTACAGAGGCCCCAAAGAAAAAAAAAAAAAAAAGCCGGGGTGGCGGTAGGGGGTGGGGTGTGTGGCTAGTCTTAAGGTTGGAGGCTTAGGCAAGGACCAGTGTTAAGAGCTGTGGAAGCTTTTTACCTTTTGGAACATAGGACGGAGTTTGGATTTTCTTCTCACATGAGTGAGAAGCAATTGGAAGCTTTTAAACAGGGGGATGACTTCATCTGATTTAGATTTTTAAAAGAAAAAGAAAATCCATTCCTCTGTAGGAATGGATTGCAACGGGCAAGAATGGAGACATAGAGATGAGGAGGAAATTGTTGCAATAGTCCCAGTGAGTGATGATGATAGCTTGGCCTATGGTGAAGAGGAGGGAGACAGAGAAAATTAAATGGATTTGAAGATATTATTTAGAAGTAGAATTAATAGAAATTGATCTCCAATACATATCCTATAGTAAGTTTTTTTTTCTATTTATATCAATAGGAGACTAGCTAATTAAATTATTTCCCTCAAAATGAGGTTGGTTGTTTAAAACTTGGTACAGCCATTCTAGGAAAGATTATTTATCTCAGTTTTTATGAATGTGAGTTAAGTGTGTATGTTTTATGCTCCTGATATATTATGTAAAAATAAGCCCGTATATGTCCAGATATGGCTATAGGAGAATTGGGAAATGCAAGAATGAATACTTCAACATTGATTACCTCAGGTAGAATACAGACAAGGGGAAGAAGGATCACCATGTTTTTCTTTAAGACTTCCTAAAATGTTTAGCTTGTGAAGTTGAATATGTATTGCTATTTTAATTTTTTATAAGTCCATTCACATGAAGAAAAATGATACTCAAGATCACTGCTTAACTGTCACATCTGTTAATCCTCTCTCCGTTATTGCTGAGGTCAGGTCACCTATTTGAGTTTGGGAAAGGTGCCATGTGTATGCCTTGTTGAAGCTGAAGGACAGAAGATTCTCTTTTTTACTTCTCCCTTCTGTGTAAGATAGGACAGTGCTTTGAAGTAAAATTTAAAAGGTCTAAACAAATGCAAATTAGTATTCCCCTTTGAGCACATTTTGAAAAGAGAATCATTCTACTTCAGAAATGAATTTGTATGAAGTGTGATAGGGGTTTGGGCAGATTCTAGTTGTCAAACTTGTCAGTGTGTAGGGGTCATTTCTCTTTCTCTTTCCATTCATGCAAACAGCAAAAGCAGTAGAAATAGCTTAAAGAAATATACCTGAACAAAAGTAAACTATATAAGTAAAAACAAAACATTAGGATGAGGGTATATTAGGTAGGGTATTGATTCAGCTGCTGTAAGAAGGACCAAGATAACACAGGCTTAGAATTGAAAGCTTATTTTCACTCACATGAAAGTTCAACTGGACTGGAGTCCATTGGGGTGCGGCTTGATAATATTCTAGGGATCCTTCTCAATTTTTGCTGTCTCCCCTAAGACATTGCCCTTTCCACAAGGTCAAAGTTGGCTCATCAGCACCATGTCTAAGTTATAGTCCCTCAGAAGAGAAAAGAGGAAGGAGAGAGTAGAGTTTCCTGTTGAGGGCATGACCCGGAAATTGTACGCAGCACTCCTGTTCATATCCAATTAGTCATTTAGTGAAAGCAGGCTGAGAAATGTTGTCTCAAACTGGGCATCCATGTGCCCCACTAAAACTCAGAGAATTATTAATAAAAGGAAGAAAGAGAGAATGGATATTAGTGGAAAATTAACAGGTACATTTATAGGTAAAGTTATATTATAGTGATGGTACAGACAAGCAGGGGAAAAGGGTCATATGGTCAGCAAGTCCTAAGACTCTAGTTAGTTGCTAAAGTGGAATATTATATTTGACCTTCAGCATCCTGATAACCAAAATAAAAAAAGAAACATAGTCTTTTACATATTTATCAGCATCCCTGTGATTTATACATGTTTCTTAAAAGAAGCAAAGCTTTTCTTAGACTTGAGTTCCAAAAGAAATCTCTCACACTGAATTTCAAAGAGGCGGCACCAGGAAACGTCGGGGCAGTGCCCGTAAACATGTCCCTGAAAAAGAAATAGCAATTTGTTTTATGTGACAGACATTTTTAATACATTCTTCAATGAAAGCCAATGGTATGGGTCAAAAACTCAACTTCACGGAAACAAATTTGTTGCAGGATGGGGCGGGAAGAATAGGGAAATATTTACTAAATGTGTACCTATTATGTTGTCCATAATTACTTGAGGATGGCTGCCCTCCCACACTTACGATCTGCATCGTAAGAAAGGTCAAAATACATGAAGTAACTAATAATAATACTGACTACTTAACCTACTAGGAGGCACCACCATGACAAGTTGACTGTGTTGGCACCACATACCCTGCTCAAGATGATGGCACTCCCTGGAGTTATGTTGCACACAACAGTTTACAGCAGTCTCCAACAGGGTCAGGCATTGCAGAGATATTTTGCGGTTTTCATATGCTGTATAATTTTATCAACACAGTGACATGAGACATCATCTATTTCATTGATGAAGTGATGGAAGCTCAGAGTGGTCAAGTAACTTGCCCAAAGGCACGCAGCTGGGCACAGCTGTGGAATTTGAACCTTCTTCCCTTTTACTGTAAATCCGGTCTTTGTGTGCTTACCTGCATTTGACAGTATGCTATACAGCATATGTTTTGTTCAAATTCCACAGCTAAATTCCACTACACAGCTAAACAGTATGGGTCTGACTACAAGGGCAATAGCATTTCAGTAAAGGAGAAATCACTGTGGATGGAATAGTCAGCAATTGCTGGCTGCTGCAGGTTGGAAAAATTTGTCAGAGAGAAGAGAAGTAGAGATGGCATGCAAGTACAGAGAGATCTCATAAGTGAAGAAAGAGAGATCTTATAAGTGAAGGCAAAGACGTAGAAATGAGACTGATTTTATTGATGAAGAATTGGCATATTGCCTAGCCTAGAAAGGAGGGTTCGAGTTGGATACCATTAAAAAGAAAACTGACAAAATCTGATTTTTCTAGTGATATTTTAGAGTGACATAATAATCCAATTTGTTTGTGAAAAGTGCAAATCAGTGATGACTTGGTCTCACGTAGAAGCATTGGGCATGGAGAGAAAAGAATCAATTCAAGTGGTGCATAGGAGGTAGAATACATCAGGCTCTATGATGGATTGGTCATAGTGGATGAAGGTGTTATACCTTGGTTTTTAACAAAAATACAGTTTGTGATAAACTGGAGAGTGTGTGTTGGGGGTAGGATTAGGATTAGAAGCAGATGGGATAGGGTTTTCCCCAAATGTTGGGGATTCTCAAAAACATCATCTTGGCAAGTAAATATCTTCCATATTCTCGGAAGTAACTAAGAGCCTAGAAAGCTTTTAAAGCAGAGATGGACAGGCTAATGGGCAGTGATTTTAGATGATAAAAATAATATCACTGAATGTGGAAAGCTCTTGTATGTACATTATTGTTTGAGCCTTGAAACAGCCATATGTACTGAACACTCCTACCATCTGCTTCTTTCACAGGGAGATTAAGAATTTGCTTAAGGTCACTTAGCTGGCAAATAGCAGACTAGGTATCAGTTTATGGAATGCTGTCTCACTTACTTTTATGTTTAATTTTAGAAATAAAGAGAATCTTATAGTCAACTAGGACTTAAGCACTTTGAAAGGTATCCTTTTCAGCATCCCTTATTGACCATACGCATATTTAGAATAACTGACTATCTTTCTCACTAGATAGAGAAACGAGGTTAGCAGGAAAGTATTTCAGGGATATTTCTTATTTGAACAAAATTCAGATAGCTAAGACAATAATAGCCTTACTAGGTTAGGTGAGGTTAGCTCCATTTGGGTATCAAATACATGTCCAGAGAAACTATAGCATTTGTGAATATACATTCTTAATTTCTGCAAATTTACTTTTAAACTATTATTAGTAACATATTTTTTCTTCCAGATGAAGGCTTCAAATACCCCTCTTTTTATAAAATAAAATGTATCCATAGAAACTAAAATCTCAAAGAGGCTGGCTTTCCTTTATTTTGACTCTAAAAGTTTTAGGTTTTAAAAATAGAAACAAGTTGATTTCTGCAGTTTCTATAGCCAGGCTGCTGCAATCATCATTGATTTTCTGGCCAGCTGTACAGGCCACAGATGTCTTTTAGCACATGTATGAGAGAAGTTCAGACCTTATGCTGGAGACCTGAATGAATCCTAAGCAGGCATTTGATCTTCTCTGGGCAGGATGTGTGGGTGATCCAGACGTTCAACTATGCACTGTTTGGAGAAACATTCTTACCCTGAATTGTCCTTAGAACCGTTTTTAATTCTAGATTCAGTCTCTGTTGGAGAATAATTTCATAATTGGGCTCATTTTGTGTATTAGGGGTACTTCCTCCATATAAATATTTAATGAGCTTTCAAGAGATAGTTCCTATTTACACAAAAATAGTACATGTAAGAATCCACAGTCTTA